CGGAAGCTGACACCCCACAATCCCCACTCCGTGGGATGTATGTGACATTCCTCAGGCACTCCTGGCTGACCTCAAGGAAAAACAAATGGCTAACTAATGAAGATAACAATCCCGCAAGACCTTAGTCTCCCTCAGTTTACAAATGTCTTAGCAATCTACAAGAACAAAGCCATTTCTATCAACGGCCTAGCTTCCAGAAGAGAATGTAAATAGAATTAAACGTCCTTATAACCTGCAGCCCATTGACAGAGACTTTAAGCGGGCAGAGTGTAATGTTCCTCCAGGAATCTCCCAAGTATTATTAATGCCTTGCTAGAGGGAAAAACAACTTTAACGTGACAATGGCAAGACCTCTGGTTTCCTGTGAATCTTCTTTAACATATGAAAGCTTTCTCGAAACCTCCCTTTTTCTTACCTCCCCCAGCCTCACAGTATATAATCAGCCTCCCCTCACAACCCCGGGGCAGCTCCTCTTTCTGCCCACGGGTCTTGTCCCCGAGCTTTACTAAAACCACAATTTTGCACCAAAGACGTCTCAAGAATTCTTTCTTGGTCATCGGCCCTGGACCTCACCCCACCGAACCTCACCTATATTCCAAAACCCCATCATGAAAATGGGATGCTGTGGGAGAAGAAGTTACACCAGGGAGCAGAGTGATTAAGGAGGAAGGTAGGGATTATTTTAGGAGTGCATGCAGGCGACTGAACTGGACGAAACGGGAGAAAGTGGGACATTGCTCACAAATGCTTGAAGCCTGCAAGAATTAGGTCCCACGAGGACAGGCACTTACCTGCCCATCTAGTACAGCACTTGCGTTGGAAATATTTAAAGGCCAGCATTCAAGAACTCTGGGTTTTAGCTGCCTACTCAATATGGACACCAGCTCCCTTCTGACAGGCTCCCTGAATCCTGAGCAGACGCAAATGCACAGGGCCCAGCTCCCGCTGCTTGCCTTTAGCCCCTGGTGGAGCCAGGGGCTCCTGTTTCTCTTACGCAGAATTAATCACGCACCCTGGGAGGAGGGTACCAGCGGACGCCTCCAAAATAGGCCTCTTTGGCATATGGATTATTTTGAGCTAAGGCCATTGAGGACCAGCCAGCCAGGAAAAGCTCTAAAAGCAGGGCAAAGTAATTCACATTTGTAAAGGTGCCCTCCTCCCTGAGACAGGGATCTTCACGCCTTCTATCAATGGTGAAGTCATTGACTTAAATCTGCCTAACCTAACTATGCAACCCTCCTTTACCACTCCTTCCCTGACTTCCTTCCTTAACTCCCCTCAACCACCCTTTCCCTGTTTGGCCTAAAGTGGTTAAGCCCCACCTGTAACCGGCCCCTTGGGTCACTCATTACTGGGTGTCCCACGTGTATGTGCGATGCAGTGTTCAAAAACGTGTTTGTCAGGGCGCCTGGGGGGCTCAGTCATTGAGCGTCTGCCTTAGGCTCAGGGCATGATCCCAGAGTCCTGGGATCGAGCCCCATGTTGGGCTCCCTGCTCCGCGGGAAGCCTGCTTCTCCCTCTCCTGCTGCTCTGATGCTTGTGCGCTCTGTCTTTCTGACAAATAAATAAAATCTTATAAAAAGCAAAACAAAAAAATGTGTTTGTCTTTCTGTTGTGAACACCTCTAGCCTTTTCTTCCCTGCTCCAGGGGCCATATAAGGGACACCATATTGGAGAAGTATTTTTGAAAATCACTGCCGTTTGGAGGAGTGGGGAGCCTGTCCTCTGATTTCCCTTGTTAACAGACTATGAAGTGCAAAGGAACAAAATCCCTGCTCCACTAGCCTGAGTCCCCAGTGGCCTGAAATTACAAAGGATGGTGGGAGGGTCCACCATTGGCAGAAAAACCTAGTGTAGGACGGCTGCTGGCCCTGAATCGCCCAGAAGTAAAGGCCCCTACAAGAGTCTGACCACCAGCAGGCAAGACTGGGTGATCAGAGTGGGGTGCAGACGCGCAGTGTGAGGAGGTGGGTGACCCGGCTTCTGAGTAGGCAGACCAGCACAGCAGGGGATGGATCATTCTCTCCAAAGGCAGCTGCAACAGCATATTTATCCCACATGGTTTCTTACAACGTGATGCTCGTCCCAAGAGATGGGGTCTGTGTTTCTTCCCCTTGAACCGGGGACGGCCTGGACCAATGGGATTCGGCAGAAGTGATGCCACGGGACTTCCAAGGCTATGCTGGAAAAAGGACACTCATCAGCCTAGCTGGCTCCCCTCCCGTCTCTCCCAGGACACACCCCGTTGGATCCCAGTCCCACTGTCATGAAGAATCCCAGGCCACACAGCAAGGCCCCATGTAGGGCTCCACCGGCAGCCCCTGAAGTCTCAGCTGACAGCCATCAGCCATCTTCAGTCCTTTCCCATGACTCCGACCCCCAGCCTTCAAGCCTCCGGGCATCTCCCCACCATCCCGTGTGAGTTCCTGACCCACAGAAACCAGGAGAAAAAAATCGTTAGTGTCTTAGGCTACTGTTTAGGGTGACAGGTTCTGCGGCAGTAAATCCCAACAGGCGCGGCTTGCCAGCAGGCTCCACTCCTCGTTAGCGGTGCGACCCTGGGCAAGGAGCTCCCTGTCCCTGAGCTGCAGTCTCTGTGCCAGAGCACACAGCACCTTCCTAAAGGGCTGCCCTGAGCCTCGGAGCTGAGGACTGCCACGCCCAGCACTCCAGGTTGCTCTCCCACCTACCTGTTTGTCCTTGACCTGCTCCGTAGTTACTCTGCCTTCCCACGACGAGAATGTGCGTCCGGGGAAGCCCAGTGCCCAGAGGGACGCCTGCCCCAGCAGCGCTCCGAGTCAGAACTTTCTCACAAAACCAACACAGCACAGAGTGCTCCAAAATGCGCTGCTAGTGACCGAGTGGGCAGAGAGGCCAACCCCACACGTAGCCCAGACCCCGGCGTGCTCCAAAGTCAGGAGACGACGCTGACGCCCGCCTGTGGGTGAGTCCTGTCTGGTCGGAGGTGGGGCTGGAGGACGGCTGCGTGCTGCTTCACCACCTCCCTCCCCCAGGGGCCTCTGCCAGCCCTCCTTCAGCTGTCTCCTGAGTCCTGCTTGCAGAGAAAATCTGGCTCACCCTGGGTCCCAGCAGGACTTCTGATCCTTTGTCTGTGATTTACACCCCACCTAAGTGCAAAGAAAGTTGGAAGTGGTAATTCTGGTCTTTTCAGTTCTACCCAGGGTGGTTCTGAAGCCAACTGTCCGTTTTCCACGCTGTAGGCTTATCCACAGGCATCTCCCCCTTTCTTGGGAATGTGCCACTGTGGGAAGAGGGGAACTCGTATTTCTTCTAATTGGCCTGAGCCAAATAATCACAGTGGACTGGTGTTCAAGCACTGGTCTGGCAGTTAATCTGCATGCGTTCCCATGGAACTTCAGAAACTGGCTCCTGAACAGGATGATGGACCCACTCAACCCTTCAGGTCTTTTGCAAAAATGTGAGAATGGCTTAAGAAAAAAAAAAAAAAAAAACAGTGCCAAAGGGAAAGAGAAAAGTCCAGCTGCAAAGAAACAGTTCTCTAAGAGGACACGAAGATTTGTAAGAGTCTCAGCAAGTTTCCTTTCCCTCATTGAGCACTCAATACTTTCTTTTCTTGGACAGTAATTTCCTTCCCAGCTGCTCAGAGCTCTCAGAGACTTTGCAGGCTGGAAGCCCTCACAGGCTGTCTCATGGGCTGTCTCACCCGCTGTTCTTGGTTCTTAGGAGGGAGGGTGCTCACATTGGAGCAGCCACGTCCTCTGGGCTCCCAGGAAGTGCCCACCACTGTCAGAGGGCTCGTTCAGCAGGAGTGACCATGGCTAGCAAGGACGGGCATACTCCACGGGCCAAGGACAGTCCGAGCACCGGTCCTTGCACCCAGTGTGACGGCCATGAGCAGGATGTCTGCTGTGATCTTCACAAATGAGGCCACGGAGAACAGAAATCACGGAATTTGTTTCCACGTGGCGGTGACTGACGCTCGGGTCGGCGGACCCCACAGCAGACCCCTCCACACTTGGAGGCCATCACTTGTCTCAGCCTAACCCTGTCCTGATTTGTCCTGCTAGGCCTTCAGTGGACCAACCCAATACCTCTTTCCACCCCTCCACCCCAGTGCCTTTTCTCTAACATGGAGACCCCTGAGCCTCCCTCCTTGGACTGAAGCCCAATCTGTTCACAGTAAGGGACGAGCCGCTCAGTCACACTGTTCACTGGTTTATTGAGACTGGGGGAGATCCCTCCCCAAGAGACACCACGGCGTGAAGGGGATGCCTCCGTCTGTCCGTGCCAGTTGTCACAGGGCCTTCTTGTGGTTGGGATTCTCACCAACTGTCTACTGGAAGCAGCTCCCCAAGCCTGCCCCCATCTCTTCTCCCTTAACTCCCCCCAGAAAAACACAAAACCAAAGGGAGCAGTCCTGGGAAGGAGAACTGGGAGTGTGGACCTAGTGCAGTACATGAGCACAAAGGGGGGTTCAAGCAGAAAGCATGTGAGGGTGGGAATTGGGGAAGGTGCATAATGATGTGTAGGGTGGGTGCCTCTGGCTCTGTTGGGAGAATACAATGATTTTAAGGTGCAAAGGTGAGGGTACCCAGGTACCATGAGCACACACAGGGAGAACGCACGGGTAAACACAGATGTGCGCCCGTGGGGAAGGCCTCCGCTCGGCAGACAAAGGGCGCAGTGGCCACGAGAGCGCCGGAGGGAGGCGAGGACAAGGCGCACACGGGAGCGCAGGAGGGAGAAGAAAGCACGTGTGAGCACGCATGCACACGAGCACGTGTGTCGGGAAGCATGAGCACACACAGGGCAGAGGCAGGAAACTCCAGAGGGTCGAAGCTGGTGGAGGGGTGAGGCGTGGGCCAGTGGAAGGAGACCAGGTAGGGGGAGAGGGCACTAGCGGGAGGGGAAGGGGAGCGGTGCACTGCTGAGGGGCCAGGGAAGCTGCAGCCAGGCGCCAACTAGACCGCGCAGTGGCTATAAAACAGCGAGCACACGAGAGAAAACACGCCGGTTCCACAGTCCTGGGGACCCAGACGACCCGACTCACAGAGGAGGCCTTCCCCCAGCCCCTCCTCCCCCCCTTGGGCCCTCACTTGTACAGCAAATGAACCCGGCTCCCGTCACAGCTGAGCCGGTCGGGGGGCTCATGGGGGCCCCTGGGCAGGCCCCCCGAGGGGTCTGGGGGCGTAGGGGGGTGGCGCCGGGGGCGGAGCTGCTGCCGAGACCGAAGCTGATGGCGCAGCTCGGAGACACGCTCCTCTTTCTGCAGGAAGAGAGATTGGGAGAGGTTGGAAGAATGTGGGGAAGGTGGGGTGTGAGCCTAGGACCAGGACGGAGGCGAGGGTGGACAGCAGGCGTGAAAACGAGGGGAGATCGAGGAGCGCTAAGGAGCAGAGGGGGCAGCAGGCGGAAAAGAGGGACCAGGGAAATGAGGCGTGGGGGGGCCGGGGAGGGGAGAGAGGTCCCTGCGCACAGACTTGCGCCGGTGCCCCCGCCGCCCCCACACCTCAGCAATGATCTTCTCCAGCTCCCGGTTCTCCTTCTCCAACAGCCGGGACTTCTCTTCCTCGTTGTTGTTGGTGGACGAGCCCGTCTTCATGGTGTCCTGCGCCTCCGACTGCCACTCTCCCCGGGTGATCAGCCTGCGCATCTGGGGGCGAAGGGTTGCGGCATGAGGTGGTGGAGCCCCGACTGTCAGCGACTAGCAGGTGGTGGGTTGGAGTCGAAAAGAATGAAAATAGAGGGGCAAGCTGGGCCCCAGCCAAGGGCAGGAGTGGGAGAGGGCCCCAGGAAGTAGGGGTGGACTGTGGGGACAGAGGAGTGGGGGGCGCCTCACCTTCGGCACGAAGAGCACGACCAGAGTAATATAGGAGGAGAACACTATGGCAAGAGATGCGAAGGCGAAGGCTGCGTCCTGCTGGCTGGACAGGATCATGGTGACCGGGGCAGTGATGAGGCACAGGACCTGTGGGTGGACCCTGTTTGGGACCTCCAGGCTTTCCTCCCCCAGGAGAGGGCCCACGAGGACAGGTCCTGGGGGAAATTCCCATCGGAAAAGGGTCCAGACTCCAGGCCACCCTCAACTCCAGGTCAACCCCTCCCTCAAGGCAGAGGTCCTAGGACCCTCACACACGCACATTCAGAGTCCCCAGGCATCGAGAGTCAGGGTAATCTGGCAGGAAGCTGACTCGGGTTCCAGCCGGGGAACCACAGACAAGCCATCTAACCTCCCTGCTTCTGCTTCCTCACCTGTGTAGGGGGACACTAATGTCTGCTTCATGGGTGGTCAGGGGAAGATAGTGTGCTTTACCCACTGGAAAGTGTTTTACACACCGGACGCACTAACTTCCGCCCACTGACCCAGCCCTGATTCCGCCCCGGCAGCCCTGGGGTCAGCGCCAGCTGTCCGGGGCTCACCGCCACATTGTAGATGGCCATGCCCACAGCCCGGTGGTCATTGATCTTCTCCGTAGACACGCTCTTGGTCTCGTAAGCAAGAAAGATGCCCAGCAGCAGCAACAACCCCTTGTAACCATAGAAAATGCCTGGAACGGAGCAAATGGTCACCTGGGCAACAAGACCCCATGCGTCCACTCCCTCCCCACGCCCTCCACATCCTTCACCTACTGCTGTTCTGCTTAGAGCTCCAGTCGGCCCCTCCGACCTAGCACACCCGTCTCTGTCCATCCCCCCAACGTGTCCAAACCCTCACCACTTCCTCCTGGGACATGGGAAGAAGACTGCTGAGAGCCGGTGTCAGCCACACAATGTCTCACCTCCTTACCCTCCAGGCTGAGGGGAGGCTTTGCCTTCCCTTCTGGTCACAGACCAATGTTCAGGAGGCCAAAAGGGGCCTAACCCAGGCCCTCACAGCCCTGGTCTCACCCTAGGGAGCTGACCAGACGGATGGTTTCAGGCTGTCCCCACAGGCCGCTCTGCCACCGGCTCTGCCTCATCCCTGCTTTAGACCCCCAGCCCCTCACGGAAAAAGACCAACCGCCACCCCATTCCCAGAAAGGACCAGTGCAGTGACACAGAGGAGGACGTTCACACTGCCCCGTCCCTGAAGACCCTTCTGTCCCCCAGCCTGCTGTCCTCGCCCCACCCCTCCCCCACACCCCACGCACCGAGCCACGTATTCATCTTCTTGGAGCTGCAGTGCTCCAGCTGGGGCAGGATGGACACGTCAATATCTTCCTTCGGCTCCTCCTTGGCAAAAGTCTAAGAAGGGAGATTTAAATAGGGCCCCAGGGAAGACGGCGGTCACCCTCCCTGCCCCACCTCTGCTCAGTCCCCGACCCCCAACTCTGCCCCCTCTTTCCCATGCCAGGCCCCACTCTAGGCTCAGGAGTGCTTTCATGAACACCTCGGAAGTGCACGTCCCCCAGCTTTTTCCACGACGCCTGGGACGTCTACACACCCTTCCTGGATCCCCACCACCTGGATCCCCACCTGCGCTGGGGCTCCTTATAGCTGCTGTTGCGCAGAAGGCCAGAGAGCCCTCTCCACGAGTGGCTTTCCTCCTCAGACCCCAGGCAGCGCAGAGACCCTGACCTCCGGCGCCTCCCCTCAGCGGGTACCTCAATGGTCCGGTGCAAAGGGTCCACGATCTGCCAGACAGCAAGAGTGAGGACATCCATGCCCACCAACAAGCCCACCGTGGCGTACAGCTTCCAGGGCTCCAGGGTCTACGTGGACACAGAGCATAGGCAGGTCAGGGAACCCTCTAAACCCGGCGAGCCAAGGACCTGAGGGCTGAAGTTAAGAAGCAGCTCACCTTCCTCCACTCCTTCTTCTCCTCCTTCTTTGTGAAGACCGTGTGGACCCACCAGATCTTAGTGAACATGGAGCCGTAGCCCAGGCTAAAGCCCAGACCCAAGAGCCAGAGACGCGCCTAGGACAGGAGAGGGGGGCAGGGCAGAGCCGTGTGCAACAGAGGTGCAGCCAGGAGCGAAGGGGGTGTGCAGAGGGCCAACAAGCTTCGTCCCACCCACCTTCTCCTCTGCCAGCAGGGCGACCTTGCTGCGGTCTCCTGGGGTGAATCCCTTTGGACCCCCAGTGTGTGGTGCAGCACCAGACCCTTCACAACACAGCCCCAGCCATCCCCCCAGGCTCCAGCCACACCGACCGGCTCACCTGATCTACTGGCATCTCCATCCCTGCAGGCCACATGAGTGACCACCCTAATTCCTCCAGCTGAGGAAAGCCCACGCATCTTTTGATATTCCAATGCCGGTCCAGCTACCTCCTGAGCAGCTCCCTCTTTGCTCCCACAGCACTTTGTGCAGAGACCTCTCATGCTGCCCTGCAGCTCAGCGCCCACCCCACCCCCACTGCCCTCTGGTTTCACTGGGGACCTACAGCCTCTGGGGAAGTGTGCTTGTGTGTGCAAATGCCATGTGCAAGCTGCATGGCCAGGACAGGGCACAGGAAGGAGGGGCAGGGACCGGGGCCTGTTTCCTACCAGCAGAACAGAACTGCACAAATAAGACTACTGAAGCCTTTCCCACACCCCAAACACCAAGCACGCACCTCCGTCCTGCCCCCAGCCCCCTGCTGTCAGGTCAGGTCTCTACCTCGGTCCTTCCCCCCTCCCCCTGGGAGCACAGTTCCTGGGCTCAGCCCCCACAGCACAGACAAGCTGCCAGGGTTGGAGGGTTCTTTGTGCAGACCCCTTCCTGCATCCTCAGAGCCTCCCCCTTCTCTGTGAGGCATGCCATGGCAACCTTGGAACTGGCTAGAGCCACACAGTGAAAAGGTCTGGAGGTCAGGAGGAAGGGATGCAGCCAGGCAGAGACCAGGGGGAGCAGGAACACAGCGGAGGAAAGGCCAGGCACTGTGCCTCCAGGAGCAGCTCCAGGGCAGGGCGAGCCACGTCCCCCGGGGAGTCTGCCCACCTCCTGCTCACCTGGCAGACGAAGGGGAACTGGCTTCTCCCGATGTGGTAACCATCCAGCCCGAGGGGGAAGACGGCAGCCAGCGCCAGGGAGCAGCCCACAGCCGTCAGATTGTTCAAGTTGGGCTGGGAGTTCTGGATATAACTAGGGCAGAGGCGGGAGAGGAGAGGAGAAGAATTAACCTCTTCTTCAGGGAGGCTCGGCTCTTCAGAGCCACCAGGGCCTGGCCCAGCCTGCAGCCATGGGCCATGGCAGAGTGCCTGCTGCAGCCTGGGCCAGGGGCGGGCGGTGCGTGCAGAGGGCTCCCAGCACCCCCACTGCACACACGCCGTACAGCCCTTCCCAGCACCCCCACTGCACACACGCCGTACAGCCCTCACTGCTACCCCAAGAACTTTAGTTTTCGGTGAGCTGCTCTGGAGCTGGAATGGGACGTGGGTCTGGTTGCCCCTTTGGTGGTCACGGTCCCTGGGAAGGCATGGGTCAGAGTGGACACCTCGACCCCCCACGACCTCAGCCGTTACACAGGTCTCATCTCAGTCCCTGCCAGGGGCATGCTCACTGTCTTTGAGGGGCAGACAGAAGGAGGGCAGTGACAGAGAGGAAACTTACCGGACATGAGAGTTGTAGATATTAAACGACAGACAGACCACAGCCAGGACAATGCCAAGGCTGGAGAGCACAGAGACCGAGATGAAGAGTTTCTGGGACATGAAGCGGAATGTCTTGATGACCAGGGTCTGGTCAGCCGGGGGGGCCCCTCCTGCAGGGCATTAGGGGTAAGGGGAGTCCTGGTCAGCTGGAAGATCCTCCTGCAGGGCACTGGGGGGGGGGTCTGGTCAGCTGGGGGGCCCTCCTGCAGGGCACTGCGGGGAGATGGTCTGGTCAGCCAGGGAGCTCCTCCTGCATGGCACTGGGGGAGTCTGGTCAGCTGGGGCCCCCTCCTGCATGGCACTGGAGGGGGAGTCTGGTCAGCCAGGGGTTCCTCCTGCATGGCATTAGGGGTAAGGGGAGCTCTGGTCAGCTGGAAGATCCTCCTGCAGGGCACTGGGGGGGGTCTGGTCAGCTGGGGGGCCCTCCTGCAGGGCATTAGGGGTAAGGGGAGCTCTGGTCAGCTGGGGGGCCCTCCTGCAGGGCACTGGGGGGGGGGTCTGGTCAGCTGGGGGGCCCTCCTGCAGGGCACTGGGAGATGGGGGGAAGGGACAAGGAAATGAAGACGAGGCAGACAAAGGGGCCAGGGGCAGCGGTCTGTAGCCCTGAGGAATGGGCCCTCGCTGCCCTGAATGCAGCTAGAGGCTAAGATGTATCTGCAAAGCTGCAGCCTGTCCGGTTAGTGTTTGTTCCGTGTTTTCTGTCTTTTTGGCAGCAAAGGCAATGGCAAGGAAAGAAGGGGAAGACCGAGAGGTAAAGTCCACGAGGTCTCTCTGAGTTCAGATCAAAAGCTGCAAAAGGCAGTTGTAGAATCATAAAGCTAAAGAGTTCAAAGTATCCAGGCTGGTCTCCTAACCTCAGGAAAACACCTGATCTGTGATTTTTAACCCCGGCAGGATGATATTCCCAGAGGTGTTTTCTAGTTATTATTAAGAGGAAGCTCAAATTTGTCAACGAGTTCACAGCGGGGAAAAAAAGAAAACTAATTTCAATTTGCTTAGCTTTAAAAAGAAAAGTGTAATTTAGGCCAGGCAGCATTTATAGCAGTAGAGAATACTGTCCTAAATTCAAATTATAAAAAACATGTCAGAACTCCAGCAGTGCTGGGAGCTAGGAGCTTCCAGTTGGGTAGGGTAGCAGGCAGCTGCCTCCATCCTTAACATGCCAAGCCTTCATTTATCCGCAGGTCCGTCCTTTTGTGCACCTTCAGTATCTTTCCCATTTTCGGTTGTTTAGCCCACCAAGCGCACAAGGAATAATTGCTCACTTTGTCTCTTTAAAAAGCACATTTGAGTGGAAGACAACCATATGAGGTTTTGCAACCTCTTCTATAATTTAAGCAACCAGTTTCCTGAGAGAGATGACGAGGCGACTCCAGGCTCAAAGTAGCTGGTTCAGATACATCAAGGTACCAGAACATCTGGGAAACCCAAACGGGGTTTCCATGGCTACCCCCTGTGCACCCGCCCTTCTGATCCTATTACCTGAGCAATGCATTATTTTTGCTAGTGCACTGCTCCCTCTCCAAATACACAGCTCCCCTACCCACGTCTTAACCCAGACCCTGGCCCATCTCCCTGGCACACTTCAAGCTAACGGCACCTGCCGCCCCACCCTCGTTCACATGCACAATGCTTCCCCTTGGTTGCTCAGAGGCACTGAAAGAAAACACAGACAGGACCTGCTTACCGATCCACTTGTCCGTCTTGGACCAGGAAAGATCATCCTTGGTGCTGTCATAGTAGCCGATCTTCTTGTAGCTGCCCCCTGGGCGGGAGACAAGAGGCGGGTGAAGAGCCCGGCCCAAGCACTAGCTTCCCACTCCCCTGAAGTCGCTCTCCCTGCTTGTGCCTGAGCCCCTGAGGGGTCCCTGGGAGCACCTGACGGCTCTCTCGAGTCCGCAACCTGACTGAAAGGCAATGGAAGGTGGATGCCAAGGCAGCGTGAGGACAAGTATGGGGAGCATCTTGTATGTTTGAGGCCTCCTTGGAGAGGGCTCCACAGACACATCCCTCAGCCTCACGCCTCTCCCGGCCGTCGTCTGGCACTTTGAGTCTGGCTTCTGAAGCTTCAGCGTTTCTGCTGATTCTCCCTCTCATGACAGACAGAATCACAGGATCTAGTTTCCCAGTGGCTTTCATTTTAATTTTAGAAATTTCTCTTCTGTTGGCTTGGGTTCTAATTCCTTGGAAAGTTGCATCTGCCTCTTAGAGCCACGAGGGAGGAATTCAGCCATTCCTAAGAATTCCCGCTCCAGAACTTTTCCCTCAGAAGCCAACCCACAGCCCTCTGCTCTGGGCTACAAGGAAGATCTGCGGACGGGGTGGGGCGGGGGCGGGGAGAAGGAGCCTTTGCACGTTCGAGGAGGCTGAGAGCGGCGTGTGGACAGTCCAACTCACAGAAGCTCGGCAAGTACGTGTGTGTGCTGACGTATAAGGAAATACAATCTAGAAAAGCCAGACTACGTGTGAGACACGAAAATCGGGAATGCTAGCTTATATAGCAAGGAAATGCAACAGGTTCCTCTAAAAATAGCAGGTTTGCTAGATTCGGCTTGCCCGGAGTCCGCAGGGGTGCACCCGACAAGGCGTTAGCCCCTCAAAGCCAGGCCACCGAAAGCAAATATCTGAAATCACAAGGGAAGCCACTGGAGAAAGACTGTGTCTGCCCCTTCCCAGCTCCGGGCATCCCACCCCTCTGAGCTTTTTACTCTTCTTACTATGTAAACACGTGATGAACCAGTTCAGAGAAAGGCAGGAGGCAGGGAGGCACCTTCCCCAAGTCCCTCCCCGGGCGGTGACCCAGCCCAGTCCCCACCTGGCCGCCCGGCCCCGCACCCGCGCTCACCCTGCAGCTGCTCGATGAGCGTCCAGGCCATCCGGGCGCCACTGGCATCAAACACCACGTGACCCTGAGTGCGGGAACAGGCGGGGGCCGGACAAGGTGATAAAAGCAGGAGCCAGAAGAGAGCGTCAGGCACTCTCTGGATCCTTATGTGTTTGATGTAATTGAGCCTCTGAATGAATTCTATTTATGGCATTTGCCTGCATATAGGACATACCCCAGATGCCCATACCCTAGATTTTAGAAAAATTCTTCTTTGGAAAAGAAGCTTCACCCATGGGGGATTTGAGTGGGAAACATCCCCAGCTAGAGCCCCAGGAGACCTGGCCCCTGGCTGTGACCTGGGCACATCACCAAATCCCTCTGGACTCTAATTTCCCCACTTTGAGAGCAATAGGAGATGATCTTTCAGCCTATCTCCTCTTTTAAAATCCTATGATTCGCATCTGACTCATCAATATCTGGAGATACACGAGGGAGAGGTTGAAAGGAATGGAATACAGCATTTTCCCTTCTGGTCTCTTACGGGTTTTCTGGTTTGGGGGTCTGAGACCGATTACTGCAGGAAGGAGGGCGTGCTCTCTCTCAGGGGAGGACAGGGGAGCGTGAGGGGGTGCTGTCACTCACAGAGACACCCTCGAAGGACGAGGAGTTCATTGCCCGGTAGATTTGGTCGGTGATGGTCTGGTTGTTATAGTTGAAGTCTTCCAGGCGCACCCCTGAACGGCCACCCCCTCCAGACGTCTTGTTCAGGGCCAGCGCCAAGGCCCAGATGGCATCGTAGGCCAGCGGTGCCTCCTGGAAACCACCTGTCTCCTCGGGGTGTCTCTTGAGTCTCTTGGTCAGTTTCTCCACAAACTCCTGGGATGTCTGTGGAGGGAAGGACGGGAAAAGGGCTGGCGTGGGTGGGTGTGTGGGGCACGGCTTCTGATTCCAGCTGCAACACTTGTAGTCAAACGATGGTTTGTGTTCCTGTTGTCAGAGGGAGCAGACGGACATGCGGAATCTGGAACGACACCCGTGTGCCTGTCTTGGAAGCTGCCGGACTGGAGCTGGGGTGAGCGGGGTCCAGTGGCCTCGGGGGCACAGATACTAGCTCAGAACTGGAGCCAAAGATCTAAGGAATGGACACTCTGCATGATGAATGGCCGAAGAGAGTAGACATGGAGCTGCAAGGCGATGTTCTCCCAGGCTCAGACTCTCTCAGTGGGCTGGACCCGGGAGCTCACAGCTCCTCCGATTCTCAAACAGCCTAGAGGGGCCCCCGCAGAGCCTTCCTCACTGGGCTCCACAACCAGTGTGCTACCTCCCTGAGCATCCTCATGTGCTTTCAGCTACAGCCCCCCGGAGGGTTTTCAGGAGACTGAGGCCCCAGAGACACCCTTCCTGTGTTTGAAAGCCAGTATTCAGTCCCTACCCACACCCCTCCCCACCCTCAATCTTTGTTCTCCAACATATATAAAATGCTGGGTATAAAGTTAGTTTCTCTTTGTAAATTTCCCTGTCTCTCAACCTCATCTTTGTCACTGATACTCAGATCTACAGTCCAGCTCAGCATTTCATGTCCTGTATCTCCAACTGCTCTGAGGCATTTGTAGCTATATGATCGATAATCCAAAATTAAAAATATCTAAGATGAAGCTCCACTTTTCCTCACTCCCTGGCACTTCCCAGTACGTGAGATTGAAGCCTTGGAATCACCAAGTCCTCTTAATTCTCTGTTGAAATGTTTCATTAAGACCGTCAGTGCCTATACAGAATAGTGTTAATAATAATAGCTAACATTTATATTTCCTGACAATGTTCCAGGCATTTTTCCATTTTTCTGAGGTATGTGTATGTGTACATATATTATATATATATATATATAATATATGTATATATATAGAAAGAGGCACAGAAAAGTTTAACTTGCCGGAAGTGATACTGCATGTCAGGGCTGGGATTCAAGCCCAGGCAGCCTGGCATCAAAGCCCATACTCTTCCTAACCACCTCTCATTGCTTCTGCACGCTGACATGCCTCTCTCCAAGAGCACCTGCTCGGCAGCCAGCCGCGAGGCTGAGACTTCCTGAGTAATCCTTCACAAGTCTATCCAATCTTCAGTTCACAGTACACACTAGATCAGAAAAACATCCAGATGGAAAGGGATTCATCTGCCCTGCATGGCGCTCTCCCCACCCAGATCTTCAACTCTCCGTGGGCTCCAGGTCACTCGACCAATATGCTTACCCAAAAAATCATTCTGCCTTGGGCCAACAAAGATACCTTTGCAAATTTTCAGGTGGAAACATTACTAAGCAGCTCAAGGAAACGTGAACAACAGCAAAAATTCCACAACCCATAGAAATTAGTAAAGCAATCAAAGGCAACTTTATGACCCTAATTTTCTATCAGCCCTGCTGGCTGTCTCTATGTGAGGGACATGACACCGATGCCCGACTGTGACCTAAACCATGTATCCTGAGGCAGCTTCCGATTTTGTATTGTACTGAGATCTGACGGGACCTCTATCCCAATTTGTGAGAACTGGAATAGAATCTTACCGCCAGGTAAGGCCACCTCCCAGCTGCCCCTCTAGCCCAGAGCTGTCAAGTGTCCCCAAAACCACTCCAACCCACTGGCCCATTGCTGGCTCCTTTCTAAACCAGGGTTTCTCAATCTCTGCTCTACTGACATTTGGATCAGGAGAATGCTTTGCTGTGGGGGACAGACCTGTGCATTACAGGATGTTTAGAAGCATGCCTGGCTTACCCCATAGATGAGAGCTGTGACAACCAAAATTGTCTCCAGATATTGCTCCAGCCAATAGTCCTCAAAACCAGTAGCATCAACATCCCTAGGGAAACTCATGGGAAAGGCCCACCCCAGACCTACCAAATCAGGACTCCCGAGGGAAGAGCCCCGTAATCTGTGTCCTAACTAACCCTCCAGGATGGTGTAGACAGCTCTGCTTCTCTTCTAGATCTCCATGGCTCTGGGTCCCCAGGTCCAACCCTTGCTTCTGATCTACCTCTCCTGGTCTTGCTTGATTCATCTACGATCCACTCCCTGGTCAGCTGTTAAGGCTGCTTCTACCCTCTGGAAAATCCTGGCTTTTCCACCTGGCAATTTCAGCTACCAAGCAGGCCTGCCGTCTCTAGAAGCCCTACGGCCTCAAAGGCAGGCACCACCTTTCTCTAGAGACCAAGAGCCAGAAAGACGACCCTCCAGCGCATTCTGCTCCAAAGCCCAGATGTCACTTCATACCCCTAACCAAGTCCCTGCTCCCCACCAGGGGCTCCTCTAGTCCCCTGCTATGGGGTAGAAGCCACAATGGGCAGGTCCCAGGCTCAGGGTGCCAATAAACCTCTTGGCTTTGGGTCCAGCTCCTCTACTTCCCCAGGTCTAAGGATGACTCACTTCTCAGGTGCTCTACAGGGAAGCGATCCTCCAGAATCTTCCCATTGTATGTTTCAACCAAGATATCTTAAACATGAAGTTTAAGGAATTTCCTAGGACAGTGTCCAGAGTCCGTGTGACACAATCCACGGCTAGGACAGACTGCCTGAATTTTCTTCCTCTCTTGCTTAAAAACTGCCATCAGCAAGACAGTATCAGCCAATAAAGGCACAGACCCTTTAGTCGGATGTCATGGTTTTCCACGCAGGGTGACAGGGCAGAGTGGTTTGGAGTTAGACTCAAACAAGGGTCAATTTTGGCTTCACCACTCAGCAGTTACCGGGCCTGGGCCAAGTCCCTCAGCCTCTCTGAGTCAGTCTCCTGGTCTGTAGAATGGAAATGAAAAACCTTCATCAGAGCTTGGCTGGGAGGATCACAGAAACCATGTCCCTAAATTCCTGGTTTACTGCACAAAAGCAATTATGACTACACCTTTGTTTTAATGAGATATTTGGGGTTTTACAACCATTAACTTGCCCCTAGCATGCTTCCCAAAACAGGTCTTCGAGACCTGGGGCTACCCCTGGTGATCATAAGCAGACATGGAGGTTGCCTCATAAGCTCGCTCAGGATTCCTGCATTCCTCCAGATAGAGCCCTGAGCAAGACAGAGCCTCAGCCTCACACCCCACTTCCTCATGCTCCTTGCCTGCAGGGCTGCCCCAGCCTTCCCAGATCAGAGGACATGTCTTCCAGCCCCAGGCCTGTCACCAGTCAGCTCTCTGGAACGAACGGATTTCAAAAGTCCCTTTTACATCTAAAATTCTGAAAGAAGATCATTAAAAAAACATCAGGAGCCAAGCTAATGGAGTGAATATTAAGCAACTCCGAAGGGCTCTGAAGTCACTGAGAAAATAGAGCGTAGTTCTGCTCAGGAACAGTGCTGGTGTCAAAGTGTGCTTCCGTATACACAGCGTCTATATTATCATTAATGCGCCTCCCTCATTTGACTTCTGGCCAACCAGCCCTCGTTGCCATGGTAACAGCCCTCCGTCTCATCAGGGGCCTCGTGAACATACCACTCCCATCTCTCTCTCTGGTTCCTGCTCAAGGAAGTCAGCGCAGAGGTGGACGCCACAGGAAACACGGTGCGAACAAGCCCCGCATGCCCTCCTGGGCCTGCAGATGCCACTCCTGTTCCCCTTCCCCGCAAGGCACCCTCAGCTCTCTCCACCTGCCCAGGGGCTGGCTTCTCGGTCCCCACGCTCACCATGTTGGAGATGCTGCGGGTGTTGGCAGGGTTCAGCATGACAATCTCGGTGGTGATGTGGCCTTCCACGGCCTCGGTCATCTCATCCACTGTGCAGTTGATGGATGGGTCATAGGTCTTGAACCAGTTGTCAGCGTACCACCCAATGAGGAACCAGACATACTTCTTCCCGAAGAGCCGCTCCTTGTACACCTGAAGGCAGAGAAGGAGCAGGGCGGGGGCTTTGTTTCTTTTTCTGTCTCATTTCCCTTGACACTATCCAGCCTCTTGGGAATCAGAGAAGACCAGAAAATTGAAAAGAGGAATCTACAAGTCTTGGAGGGAGTAGGAGAGACTCAACTCCTCCTCCTCCTAAGTTCCTCCCCAGCAAGTCAGGAAAGATGGGGTTCAAGTGTTCCTGTACATACACACGGGGGTAGGAAAATGAGATCTGGAGAGAGAGCTGAATGCGAGAAGCCAAGAGATGGAGTCAGAGCCAAGAGACAGGGACATCCTATTAATCATCGCCTCAGATCATCTGCTATCAACCTGAGCAGACGTGCAGAGAGACCCCATCAGACACCCAAGGTACAGAGCCCACCCAGGCCCCTCCCGCTTCGGATTCCAACTCTACCTCACAAAACACTTTCCGGGCTTCAGTCTCATAGAAAAGTCCCACGATGATGCGGGCATCCTGGCGCTACAGACGGAGAGAAACAGAGCTCCTGAGGGAGGCCTGGAAACACCCAAGCACTTCCACACCTTGGATTCCCTGCCCTGGAGAGCTCAGTGTAGGTTTTGCTCACAGGGTGGTGGATAAATGCCAACTGGACGATGAGAATAAACGTCCCCAGGAGATGCTACTCTCTCCCAGCATCAAATTCTGTGATGTAATAGAGCTGTTAGCGAATGTTAATCCCATTGCAGTGTATCAATGTATCAAATCAACACTAAGCTTACACAGTATTATTCATCAATTGTATGCAATATATAACTGCATATAATATATAATGTGGGGCGCCTGGGTGGCTCAGTTGGTTCAGCGACTGCCTTCGGCTCAGGTCATGATCCTGGAGTCCCGGGATCGAGTCCCACATCGGGCTCCCTGCTCAGCAGGGAGTCTGCTTCTCCCTCGGACCCTCCCCCCTCTCATGCTCTCTCTCTCTATCTCATTCTCTGTCTCAAATAAATAAAATCTTTAAAAATATATATATATAATGTGTATGATACATTATATAATATATAATTACATATTGTAGATATGTATATATAAAAATTTGTCAAATCAACTCTTTGCACACCTTAAGCTTATACAATGTTATATGCCAATTATATCTGGATACAAAAAACAAAAAGAAAACAAAAAAAAAAACCCACCTGCCCCTGCCTGGTTCTCCTCTCCAACCTCCCACTTTGTTCCCCCAACCTGGTCCCTCCGCAGGCTGAGTCCCCCACTCCCGAGCAGCACACCTTAAGGTTTTTGACTGGCACGGCTGGATCTGAGAAGAAACTCTGGCGGAAAGTAATCTCAATTCCAGCCTCCTTCACTCGCTCCTCGAGGTCGTCCAGAGTCTTGGGTGGGCATGAGAAACAAACGGAGAAAACGTGGGGTGTACAACGGGGTCGAAACCAGAGATGTTACCTGGGGACTGCACACTCAGAGCAGGAGGAACAGCAGTTCTGAACCCTCCTTCAACCAAGTCTGTGCCCGGGGTGGGGAGAGCTCGAAGGAAAGCATCTGCCGTCTCAGAATGTAGACTCTACATACGAAGGTGCTCGAGAGCCCCTCCTGAGGATCTGTGTCCCGGGAAGCCACCCCACTCACCCCACTCCCACCAGACAGCAAAAGTGGGGGAAAGGAGAGCAGAGGACGTGGGGAAAATGAGTCGGGGTCCGGTGTGCACAGGATGGTCTCAAGCTCAAGAGGCAAGTGCAGACAGACAGAGGGATCAGAGAAGAGTGCCCTGAATCCCTGAGAGAGTGGGGGAGGGTTAAAGGGCCACAGAACATAAGGGTGGGTGGGGGATCCAAAGACTAGACTAGAAGAGAGGGGCTGGCTATCTTTTCCAACAAGTCTTGGAGGGAGTAGGAGAGACTCAACTCCTCCTCCTCCTAAGTTCCTCCCCAGCAAGTCAGGAAAGATGGGGTTCAAGTGTTCCTGTACATACACACGGGGGTAGGAAAATGAGATCTGGAGAGAGAGCTGAATGCGAGAAGCCAAGAGATGGAGTCAGAGCCAAGAGACAGGGACATCCTATTAATCATCGCCTCAGATCATCTGCTATCAACCTGAGCAGACGTGCAGAGAGACCCCATCAGACACCCAAGGTACAGAGCCCACCCAGGCCCCTCCCGCTTCGGATTCCAACTCTACCTCACAAAACACTTTCCGGGCTTCAGTCTCATAGAAAAGTCCCACGATGATGCGGGCATCCTGGCGCTACAGACGGAGAGAAACAGAGCTCCTGAGGGAGGCCTGGAAACACCCAAGCACTTCCACACCTTGGATTCCCTGCCCTGGAGAGCTCAGTGTAGGTTTTGCTCACAGGGTGGTGGATAAATGCCAACTGGACGATGAGAATAAACGTCCCCAGGAGATGCTACTCTCTCCCAGCATCAAATTCTGTGATGTAATAGAGCTGTTAGCGAATGTTAATCCCATTGCAGTGTATCAATGTATCAAATCAACACTAAGCTTACACAGTATTATTCATCAATTGTATGCAATATATAACTGCATATAATATATAATGTGGGGCGCCTGGGTGGCTCAGTTGGTTCAGCGACTGCCTTCGGCTCAGGTCATGATCCTGGAGTCCCGGGATCGAGTCCCACATCGGGCTCCCTGCTCAGCAGGGAGTCTGCTTCTCCCTCGGACCCTCCCCCCTCTCATGCTCTCTCTCTCTATCTCATTCTCTGTCTCAAATAAATAAAATCTTTAAAAATATATATATATAATGTGTATGATACATTATATAATATATAATTACATATTGTAGATATGTATATATAAAAATTTGTCAAATCAACTCTTTGCACACCTTAAGCTTATACAATGTTATATGCCAATTATATCTGGATACAAAAAACAAAAAGAAAACAAAAAAAAAAACCCACCTGCCCCTGCCTGGTTCTCCTCTCCAACCTCCCACTTTGTTCCCCCAACCTGGTCCCTCCGCAGGCTGAGTCCCCCACTCCCGAGCAGCACACCTTAAGGTTTTTGACTGGCACGGCTGGATCTGAGAAGAAACTCTGGCGGAAAGTAATCTCAATTCCAGCCTCCTTCACTCGCTCCTCGAGGTCGTCCAGAGTCTTGGGTGGGCATGAGAAACAAACGGAGAAAACGTGGGGTGTACAACGGGGTCAAAACCAGAGATGTTACCTGGGGACTGCACACTCAGAGCAGGAGGAACAGCAGTTCTGAACCCTCCTTCAACCAAGTCTGTGCCCGGGGTGGGGAGAGCTCGAAGGAAAGCATCTGCCGTCTCAGAATGTAGACTCTACATACGAAGGTGCTCGAGAGCCCCTCCTGAGGATCTGTGTCCCGGGAAGCCACCCCACTCACCCCACTCCCACCAGACAGCAAAAGTGGGGGAAAGGAGAGCAGAGGACGTGGGGAAAATGAGTCGGGGTCCGGTGTGCACAGGATGGTCTCAAGCTCAAGAGGCAAGTGCAGACAGACAGAGGGATCAGAGAAGAGTGCCCTGAATCCCTGAGAGAGTGGGGGAGGGTTAGAGGGCCACAGAACATAAGGGTGGGTGGGGGATCCAAAGACTAGACTAGAAGAGAGGGGCTGGCTATCTTTTCCAGTTCAGAGCCCTGCATTTCCTCTTCACCTGCCCCATCTCTCTTTCTCTCTCTCTCTCTCTCTCTCTCGTTCCCTCCTTCTCTGCTCCTTCTCCATTCCCACTGTTCCTACTCACACACACACACCACCCCTGCGTGTCTCTGGAACTTGCTGCCTTTCTGCATTCCTATCTCATATTCCCTCTCTTATCTCAACTTTGGAGTGAACCTACTTTAATAGAAATGGGTCATTTGGGGTCTGTCCGGGAAAGAGAGCATCAAAGGGAAAAATTGTCCTAAAACCAAAAACTTGGACAGGATCCTGAAAACCCAACTCTGTTTATTCCTCTGGCTACAGAAAGAACATGCACTTAACCCACTCAGAACATGTTTGCTTTTGATAAAGAAACAGGCTCTCTGGGGCGCCTGGGTGGCTCAGTTGGTTAAGCATCTGCCTTTGGCTCAGGTCATGATCCCAGGGTCCTGGGATCGAGCCCCGCGTCGGGCTCCCTGCTCAGCTGGGAGCCTGCCTCTCCCTCTCCCTCTGCCACTGCCACTCCTCCTGGTTGTGTGCGCTCGCTCTCTCTCTCTCTCTCTGTCAAATAAATAAATAAAAATCTTAAAAAAGAAAAAAGAAACAGGCCCTTCTCCCCAAAAGGAATGCCGGCCACATCTCTCCGCACTGAAGTTTGAGTGCACGCACGCTCACCGAGGTGAAGACCTCAGTGGTCTGCTGGATGGTGGCGATCTTCCTCCAGCCCCACTTTTCAAAGAGCTTCACACGGGTAGGGTTGTGGAGCGTGGCCGACGGATGAGTTCGAAAGAATGTGGGAAAGCGCTGCCTGTTGGACAGGGCCGGTGAGCTGGAGCCGTAGGAGAGCTAAGGGACAGGGACACAGAGCAGGACATGCTCGCCCAGAGCTCCGCTGCAGCCCTCCTCGCTGCCCCCAAGCCTCCTGCCCAGCTCTGCCCTGCGCGCACGGGTTCTCAAAGGCCCACAGCCCCTGGCACAGGCCCTCACTTCCTGCTGAGGAGGAGCAGTAGCTGGGCTCTCAGGCCACTGCTGGAGGGCCGTAAAGGACCATGAGTCCTGAAAATGGGTCCTCCGCAGTCCCCTTAAATACAGAGCTGCAGGACTCCCCTTCTCAGCCCCACAGCCCGGCTTACCACGATGAGGTTCCACATCCTGGCAGCCTCAGCCACAAGCGTGGAGACGGAACTGCAACCAGGCATGAGGATGATCTTGATGGGGTCGTTGTAGAGCAGCTCATACAGGTACTTGGTGGCTTGGCCTGGGTCACACTGAATGGGGAGGGGGTAAGTGTCGGTCACCCGTGCTCCTCCTCATTGCATCTCCAACAACCTAGTTACTTCCCAAGTACCCATCCCTCCGCTGGATCCCTTCTGTCATGAGCACCATTCTCGGTTCCCCTCAGGCATCAAACACCGTCCCCTGTCCTCCCCCTGCCTCCTTACCCATGTCCTCTCCTGCACACACCTCCATCAGAATTACTGCAGAGACCACCTTTCCTCCCTCAGCCCCTCCTCAGACCTCCCCCAGCCTACCTTCCTCTATCACCCCGTCCCCTTGCCCATGTTTCTAAGCTCCAAATATCTGTGAGTCTGCAGGAATGTGAATGAGTCCCCAGACAGCCTCCTCAGAACCATGCTATGAAAATTCCTCCTTCATCTCTGCAAACTCCTGCTCCCCACCTTCCATTTGTCCCTGGCTCCTCTCTTTTCAGGGCTAGTGATAAATAAACACAAGGAGAACAGGGAACAAGACCACTAGGGAGTCCTGCTTGGCGGTCCCTCCCCTCCTGCTGGGCCCTGACATTTGACGGGTCCATTAGAAAAAGAGGCACTTGGGGAGGGTTGGAAGTGGGGGAGGAATAGGTGAGGAAGAACTGGGGAGAATAAATAGGATGAGGCTCTCAACAAACCAGATGCTTTTAGGGGTGCCTGAAGGAGGGGCAGGGAAATGGGGAAAGTAAACAATGCAGAGACCTGGGGAGGGAAGGGACGGTGGGAGGAAGAGCCGCATGGTGAGCCCCTGCCTGTTCCCCTCCTGCTGAAGTATGACATTTCAGAAGCTGCTGGAACCCCAAAGGAAGTCGAGAAGAAATGGAAGGCAGTGGGCAGCCAGGGTAGAGGAGGAAGAGACAGGAGGCACAGGGGCTGGGGAGGGTGACGGCGGGGCGGGGGGGGGGGGGGGGGGGGCAGGCAGAGAGGGAATAAGGAAGGCCCCCTAGAGCCTGCTCACTTCCCACTGGGGCCTGACATTTGAGACACCGTGGGAAGTTGGAGAAGGGAAGCCAGAACCCTCTGCTGCCCCCCCACCCCCACCCCCTGCTAAGAGGTGTTTTTGAAGGCTCCTCACCCTGGCAGCTCTGCCATTCTCAGGCCCCACCTTCCTGCACTCTCCTAGCAGGTTACCCCAGATGCTGCTCCAGCTCCCCCTTGCAGCCTGGGGAAGGTTGGCAGGAACAAGGAGGGGTACAGACAACACACACACAGGCTGACCCAGGCCTCTTCTCTGGCTTGCTCATTCCTCCCCTACCTTCTCTCCTTCCACACTCAGTTCCTCCCCGCAAATTCCCTGATTCTCACCCCCTCCCCAGCAGACTTCCTCTCAGCCTCTCTTCCGCTCTCTCTTCTGCAAAGGATCTGGGCTTGCCCGCAGGAAAAACACACATTCCAGTTTGCGGCTTTCCCCCCCTCTCCCTCGCTGCCTCTTCTGGCTTCTCTTCCGTCTCCCTTCTCTCAGGCCCCCCATCTGCTCCCCAGCACCTCTAGGGAGTCACCTGTCACAGTGGATGAGTCTGAGCTAACACACGGGGCTACGGGGCTCCCTGGCTCCCTGTGACCCCCTCTCCTGACCCCTGCACCCGTCCCTCCCAGTCTCTGGCCCTAAACTCCCACCTCCAGCAGACCTGACCCTCTGCTCCTCTCCCTGTCTCTCCCCTAACACCTAGTTTTTTTCTTGTGCGTGGCTGATCTTCCATGGGGATCCTGAGGGTGGCTACTTAGGCATCCACCAGGACAGGACGTGTAACGGCAAAAATGCAGATGCTTGGGACTCGTTCCTGACCAGGAAGTTAGAATCTGTTTTAAACCCACTCCTCTGGTGACTCTCATGTACACCGAAGTTTGCGAATCCCGGCCAAAGTGTCGGGAAGGGTTTGAAGTCCTCTCTCCAAGCCCCTTACCGTCCTTGGCTCTCTTCTCTCCACGCAGCCCCTTCAGCCCCACTCTGCCCACTCCTCCCTCACAAACCTGTTTCTCAGAATGACTACATCCTGGGTCCACCCAGGTGAAGACAACCAAGTCCTCACCTCCGTACTCCACTCTACTCTCTCCCAGCCCCTTACGAGGCTGGGGCCACATGTCAGAGAAGATAAATTTGAGGTCCCAAGTCTCTTTCCTTCCCTGTGGCACATACTTCCCCATATTCCCAATTACTCATAGGGAATAGGGTGGGAAAGGAATCTTACGGAGCCACCCTCGACTACCCGGAGCCACCCTCGACTACCCGACCCAAATGTTCTTTCCTTCCCCCTTTCTCTGTTCCCCGCCTCCCTCACCCTACATCCTATTTCCCTTCTCACATCTCAGAGGCCACAATGCTGTAAGGAAGATAAACTCAAGACCCAAGTTCCACAGGATGCCCAAGAATTGATCTCTATCGCACTCCTCCTCATCGCCCCTCCCCTACCGCCATTCTTCCCTGTTCTCTCGCCTGCCTATATCCAGACTCCCCTCTAACCCCGTGCAATTGTAAGGGCTCCTGTGTGGACCTCTAATCCAATTCATTCTCCCAGGGCCTCTGCCCATCTCCTGACCATTAGCTTTCCCAAACTATAATGTGCCACATATCCCACAGTCCAGGAATCTTCAACAGAATAGGGCTCACAGCTACCTTGCTGTTTGTTGTGATAAATAAACCAGAGCACTCAAGTCCCTCAAATTTTTCCTTATTCAGAGCTCCAACCTGCTGCCAAGATTTACCTTGTTACCATGGTAAATCTAAAGCCCTGCTCCAGCTCCTCACCTCTGACACCTCCTCCATCCCCTGAACCCATCCCAGGGTTAGTTTACTCCCAGAGGACCAGGATCAGCTTGTACCCTAAATCCACCACCAGTTTCCCCAAACCTGCCCCCCCCCACTTCCATGCATCCTGGGGAGCAGAAAGGTCTGCCTCACAGCCTGATTAACCCTCTTAAACCCCTAGACCCTCATCTTGAACCTCCAGCCCCTGTGACTCTCCCCAAGCTCCTGCACCCCCAGCCCATCTCCCCCGCTAGTCACACGTGGGAGGGGTCTGCTTCGCAGTACCAGCAGTCACTCAGACGGAGGCCCGTGCGGCTGGCCCCCTGCCCCCCCCCAAGCCCCCACCGCCCGCCCACTCCCAGGTCGGGGGCTACCTTGCTGTCGTGGTGGATGAGCTTGAGCTCATAGTCCGGCAGGATGTCCCTGCGGCTATTGACGTCCTCCAGCGCCATCTCCACCGCGGGCTGGCAGGCCTGGCCCCCGGGCCAGCCCCCGCTCATGGGGAACAGCGCCCCGATGTACACTGCGCGCCGTTCTGAGGAGGGGTGCGGGGGGACCCGCGGGTGAGGCCGCGGGAGATGAGGGGAGTGGGAGGCCCACAGCGGAGTCACCCCCGCCGCCATCACCACTAGGAGCGGCAGCGGCCACCCCGCCCGGGGAGCGGGGACCCCCGGACCCATGACCGGGAGGAGAGGGGCTGTTTGGGGAGGGGGAGGAGCTCAGGGGGGACACTTTTCCCGGGGAGGGCTGCTGAGGGGGTGTCGAGGAGGCGCCTCCATCCTGGCCTGTGTAGGGAGGAGAGGGCGAGGGCCCCAGGGAAGCGGGGAAGGTTGGCTTCCTAGGGACCCCGCGGCTCCAGCTCCCGCCCCTGCCACCGCCACCTCCACCGCGGACTCTCCTCGCGGACTGACTGACCGACCGAGGGGAGGAGGAGGAGGAGGAGGAGATGTCGGGCTGGGAGGGGGCCCTGACGTCACGGGCAGCGCGCGGCAGCTGCGGGGGGAGGGGCGGGGAGGGAGGCGCGCGCCGCCGTGGGAACGACAGGCCGAGGGGAGGGGAGGGGAGGGGCGGGGAGGGGAGGAGGACGAGACCCCCCGCGGGAAAGGCCTGGACCGGGAAGCGGGGGGAGGTCCCACCTAGGGGGCGGTCAGGGAGGAGCCGAGAGGGGAAGGGGCGTGCCGGGAGGGCGGGGTGAGCCGAAGCTCTGGGGAGCCGGGGATGGAGACGCGAAGGACGGCGGTGGGGCGCGCGTGTCTGAATCCGGGGTGTGGATGGATGGGGCGAAGGGCTGAGGGTGTGGGGCGCAGGGCGATGGCAGCGGCTTAGGAGAGAGGTGGTTGGGTGGGAAGGGGGTGGCGTGAAGGGGAGTGATGGGGCGGAGGCTGGGAACCCGGGGCTGGGAGACACAGCTCGGGAAGGAATGGGAGCTGCGAGAAGGCAAAGGGTGGAGGTGGAGGGACCGCGGTGCGGAGGAGCCGAAGGGGGCAGAGCCAGGCCCGGCCAGGGGGAGACGGCTGCGCGGAACCCCCGGGGAGCCGGCGGCGGACGCGCGGGGTCTGCCCGCGCCCCCAGCCCCCGGCCGGGCTCTGCCCTTTGGCAGGAGCGGAGCCCAGGGCAGGGCAGCCAAGCGGGGGGAGTTGGGAGGGACGGCGGCCTCGCAGGAAACCGGGACTGGAGGCAGAAAACAGGTAGGGAAAGAAGGGGCCAGCCGCGAACCGGGAGGGGGCGGTTGGGGGGAGAAGGACAAGACCCCACAGCCTGCGGGCAGAACCCCTGGGGGTGGAGGATGAAGAGTCAGGGGTAAGGGGATTGCAGTGCGCGAGATGAGGGTTTCTGATCTCACCTGCGTGCGGCGTTCGATTCACTGGCAGCAGGAAAGACGGGGATCAGAGAAGAGTTACCACTGGCGCCCAGCTTCCCCGGCCTGATCCCCAGCCCCCTCCCACACCTGTCCAGGCCGGAGAGGACCGGGTAGAGCAGAAGCCTGCGTTTCTGAGGGGAGGGTGCCTGGGGATAAGAGCAAGGTGGGGCTGTGGGTCAGGACCTGTCGGTTTTCTTCTTTTATTTTTCATAGGACAACAGAATTTGAGACAAGAGTGCCAACAGCTAAGACATGGGCAGATCCTGGTTTTGTGGAGCCTAGATATTATAAAATGCAGGGGTCTCTCTTTAAGAGAAAAAAATACAAATTACAAATACAATTGATTTTAAACTATTGCTTTTAAAATCTTACTTTTGCATTTTTTACAAAAAGCTATGACCATGTGAACACATTATTAGAGCACAAGAAGAGACCTGGGTGAATGAGGAGCCCTGACGCTTAAATTGCATTAGCTTCATGGTAAATCCACCCCTGGATGGGACTCTCAATTTCCAAAATGGGATGGTAAACTACAAGCAGAATAATTACGTTAAGGGAGGAAAGCCAGGTCCAGGACCTTGAAAGATTCTACAAGAATAGGGGAAGCATGGGGTATGCCTGCATCTCGCAGAGAAGACTGCAAAGGGGGAATCTGGGTGCCCAGGAAAGGGGGAATTTGCAGAGCTGACTGACAAAAAAGGTGCTGGACACAAGACTGAGTCCCTTGGGAAGGATGGAGTTGGTCTGAGAGTTCCAGAAAAGGACTGTCCTCTTTCCCTCCCCAACCCTGGGTGGTCCTTAGCACTCTGACAGTTCTGCCCCCAATTTTAAGTCTTTTAAATTTTTACCCTGATAATTTTCCACCCCAGATATTCTTTCCAATCTTAACATTTTTTTCTAAGTATGACATAAGATTTATTTCTGAGTCTTTACAATAATTCAGTTATATAACAAATGGAAAGGAATCAGTTGTAGAAGAGGGTTATGCATAGAAAGTTCTAAGTTTAGAGAAAGGGACTGAGGCTGTGGGAAACTGGGGTATTTAAACCTTAAGAAAGGTGACGGAGGGTGAGACTCATAAAGGAAAAGAGAACGTGTGGAGAATTGGGAGCAAGGAGGAGATATAAAAAGAGGGAGGTAGAGGAAGGAAGCCCCCCCGTGGTAAAATGAGCACTGGGGACAGCAGGACGGGGCTGGAGACAGGTGGGAGGGGGAAGAGTTGGGTTTCCACCTTCACTCCCCCAAAGCCCCCCCGTTGCATAGCACCCCGTCTCTCCCACCAGCCCTTCACCCCACTCCCATCCTCTGCAAGCACCCTCAGCTGCAAGCACGCGGCCATTCCCCTCACCCTGGCAGTGGGGCTTGGGGGTGCTCCACTGGCCCTGACTACAGATGCTCCTGGAGCTGCCCACAAGATGGAAGTCAGGGTCACATCGGAAATCCACCCGGGCTCCGTCCAGAGTGGGGAGGTCCCCACCCGTCAGGAAAACCTTCCCATTTTCCAGGGCCAAATATGACTTGGAGCAGATGCGGACTGTGGAGAGAGATGAAAAATGAGAAAGAGAGGCACGTTGGGAAAGGCTCCTTCCCCTTAAAGAGCAGGGGTCTCAGATTGGGGTTTGGGGCCTCAAGCATCCTACTCTGCAGGAAATCAGGGGTGCAAAGGATTTGCCTTTCTAGTTTCCATTCCTCCCTTAACCCTATAAGCATCCACACATTACCAACAGAAAAAAGGAAAAAGCGTTTCCATGGTAGGAACCCGAGATGGAGCTAGAAGCGCACAGAAATGGATCTTTTCAAAGTCAGTGGCAGTGGGCTGTTCCCCGGCTTTGAGACATGCAGATGGATGTAACTTTAGATGCCCAATCAGATTTACCTTTCTTATTATAGTTGACTTACGCTAATGTTAAACTGGGTTTTGCTTTGTGGGTATATGATCTCTGCGTTGGAGACAGGTATTCAAAAATGCCATGAAATCATTTTGAGTGTTTTTGCACAATCTGTCACTAATAATCCTCAAAGAGAAGAACTCACAAGATGATTAATCAAGTTATTTTATCAGTCAGTGGCCTAATGCAGGGAGGATGAAATGAAACGAAAGGTGTGGTCGGCTAGCTTGACTGCCTCTAAGTGCACATGGTAAAATCCTTCTTACATAGTGTTCGCTCAATAAACGTATTTGTGAATTTTGTTACAGTGGATTTAAAGTGCTGACTTGTAAGCAATAATGGTAAGTTTGAGGCAGGAAGAGGAATGGTCTTGAAGAGAAGAGGGGCTTTGCAAGGCTACTCACCGCATCTGCTGGGTGTGTCCATATCTGTCCAGGAGCCGTTGGCCAGGCACTTTCGGACCTTGGGCCCCACCACCTCGCGCTCTCCCCGGCACACATACTCAATCTCATAGTCCACCGGCAGGAAGTTGATAGCCTTCACCTGGTCCCGAGTCAGGCCCCTGTACCTGATGCCCCCTTCCCAAGGCGGGTGTATGATCTGGCAACCTGAGGGATGAGTCCCAGGAGTCAGAGAGGGAAGGGGGGGGGGCAGAGTCAGCTGCGGGAGGCGCAGGAGCATAGGGCGTGGTCACTGCGCAGGTGGCGACCAGGGGCCCAGATGGGATGTTAGGGGTGGGCGTAGGAATGGGTACAGCACCCTGGGCTAAGGACAGAGAGCCCTGAGCCAGGTTTAAGGCCAATGAGAGAGCTCACAAGTGAGGAGGGAAGCGTGCTGGTTGGGGGTAATAGGGAAAATTAAGAATTCATGAAAGGGTAAATATGCCAGTGAGCTTGGTAAAACAAGCTAAAGGAGGATTTTTGAGTAAATTAGGGTGAGAGTACAAGGGAGGCTTCTTAGGCTACCCAGGCAGCAGTGTGGGCAGGAAGGAGGGGTGGGGTCGAGAAAACAATGCAGGGTCACCGAAAGGTGGCCGATGCAGTGACGTGGGGCAGAGAAGAAGGGGTGCTGGGTCATAGGTGGGGTGAGGGAAAGGAGGTCAGGGGTGTTAACGTGGGGCCGGGCAGACAGGGTCGCCAGGCCGGGATGCTAGCTATGTAGGGCTGACGGGATAGTAATGAGGACCAGAAAAGGGGGGTGCAAGGAGGGGCAGAGTGGGTGGGGTGCCCGAGGTGGCCGGTGAAGGTGCACCTTCTGAGGTGGCGTTGGGGGTCTGCGCCCCGCCCGCGCCCGGGGGGCGGAGGAAGAGCGGCGCCAGCGGCAGCAGCAGCGGCAGCAACATCTGAGGGACAGGCGGCCGTGAGGACCGGACCGAGCCCCGCCGGCGCGGCCCAACCGGGGTGGGGGGGGCGGCCTCGCTCGCCGGGCCCCGCAGGCTCCGACCCGGCTCCGACCGGGCTCCGCCTGCGGACGAGACGCGCGCCCCGCGGAGGAGGCGGGGGCGGAGCCCAGCGCGGGGGGGGGGGGGGGGAGGAGAGAGCGCCTGTCCCCACCCTCCTCCAGCCTCCCTCGGCCCCCCACCCTCCCGGGACTCCACCTCTAACCACCTCCTCTCCCCCGGCCCCCGCGGCTCTCCGAGCCCGGCGTCCCCGCGCTCCCGGCCGCGGCCCCGCGCGCCCCGGCTCGGCCCTCCCCCGCGCGCCCCTCTCCGAGCCCGGCTCCCGGCCCGGCTCTTACCTCGGCGCGCCGGCCCAGCTTCCCGGCTCTCCCGGCCTCAAGGCCCCAGGCCCGGCCGCTCCTCCCGCTCCCCCTCCTTCCTCCTCAACCTTCCCCTCCTCCCAGCCCTCCTCCCCGCGAATCCGGGCTCCTGCCCGGCCAGGGTCTCGCTCCCCTCGCGCTCCCCCAAACCCCACCCCGGTCTCTGCTTCCCGGGGCGGCGGCGGCCGCGGGAGCGGGAGCCGGGAGCGAAGGAGGCGGCGCCGGGGACCGGGGGAGGCTCCGGGCGGAGGGAGGAAGGAGGGTGCGGAGAAGACGGGCGGGGGGAGGGAGGGGGAGACCGAGGCGAGGGCGCCTCCCACAAGCCGAACCCCGGGAGCCGCCCCGGATCCCGGCCCCGCCCTGGACCGCCCACGGCGCGGGGGGGGGGGGGCGGGCGGCGGCGGGTGGGAGGCTGGGGCGCGCGCCGGAGCCGGGTGGGGGCGAGGGGCCCCGAGTCGAAGGCGGAGGAGCGGGCGCCGAGGCTGGGAATCTGGGATGCAGGTGGAGCAGCTCCGGATCGGGGTGAGAGAGAGAGGCGGAGGCCGGAGCCACGAGGGGAGCGAGGCAGGTGGGAGGGAACGGAGAAGCTGAGGTCAGACCGGGAAGGGCGGAGGAGGGGGGTGAAGGCCGGGCGCCCCGAGAGGCTCCCGCCGCCCAGCCGCTTTGCCTCGCTGCCCCGGGCAGGCAACTCGGGGAAAGGACTGAAGGCGAAAGCCGGGGAGGGGAGCATCGCAGGAGAGAAATGGAAGTAGTAGAAGGGAAGAAAAAGGAGACAAAGGGGCCTCCAACGGGCTGGAGCCAACCTTATCTTTCTTCACTCCAGCTGGGCCTGTCAGTATTTCTGGATAATGGGGAGTTGGGAGCCTGGAGACTGCGGGAAAGTGCAGGCCTCTGGGCAGTTCCCTTGGCTCCTCGCCTTTGTGCGGTGGTGAGGGTGTGTGTGAGTGTGTGTGTGTTCATGGGAGTGAGGGGCGTGTGTGTGTGTGTTCATGGGAGTGAAGGGTGTGAATGTGTGTTCATGGGAGTGAAGGGTGTGTGTGTGTATTCATGGGAGTGAAGGGCATGTGTGTGTTCATGGGAGTGAAGGGTGTGAATGTGTGTTCATGGGAGTGAAGGGCATATGTGTGTGTGTTCATGGGAGTGAAGGGCATGTGTTCATGGGAGTGAAGGGCGTGTGTGTGTTCATGGGAGTGTAGGGCGTGTGTGTGTGTTCATGGGCGTGAAGGCTGTGAATGTGTGTTCATGGGAGTGAAGGGCATGTGTGTGTGTTCATGGGATTGAAGGGCGTGTGTGTGTTCATGGGAGTGAAGGGCATATGTGTGTGTGTTCATGGGAGTGATGGGGGCATATGTGTGTGTGTTCATGGGAGTGAAGGGCATGTGTGTGTGTTCATGGGAGTGAAGGGCATATGTGTGTGTGTTCATGGGAGTGATGGGCGTGTGTGTGTGTTCATGGGAGTGAAGGGCATGTGTGTGTGTGTTCATGGGAGTGATGGGGGTGTGTGTGTTCATGGGAGTGAAGGGCATATTTGTGTGTGTTCATGGGAGTGATGGGCGTGTGTGTGTGTTCATGGGAGCGAAGGGCATATGTGTGTGTGTTCATGGGAGTGAAGGGCGTGTGTGTGTTCATGGGAGTGAGTTTGGGCTGCTAGAGGAGATAGGGCACTCCTTATGGGGGAAAAAAGCTCCTTTCTGTCTGGTCCTGCAGAAGAGGTGGGAAAAGGCAAATAGTGTGAGACTGATGATAACAGGTTCTCAGCCTTCAGCCTTTCCTATAACAAATATCTTGCAGTGAATCCTTTACTTCACTGAACTGAAATTCATCAATGATACAACCTACCTACACACATGCCTTTTAAAAAGTCAACATGCTTCCCTATCTGTGCCATAAAGTGGCAATGAAAAAGAATAATTTGTAATAAAAGAACATGGTCTGTATTTTACCGTGTGCGTGTTGAGCCCTGACTAAGCCGGAGGTTGTAATGAAGGAGGTGGATGCTTGCAGCTGTGCATAGACTCACAGGTGTGGGACTCTGCACGTGCACACACACAGGTGCTGACTCAGCACCTCCAGCATGTTGCCATCAATGAAGTGATTTAAAAAATGTTGAACATTTGATAGCAAAGTCATTCTTCCCTAAATTTACACAGGACTGTAATTGCATTCCTAGAAAGCTCATTGTATATTAATACCATTTTTTAAACAGTATTAATTTCTAGGCTCAGATAATTAAACACAGGTTTTCACCTACATGAAGGTCCTAGGGGACATTTGAGATTCTGGATGAGGGACAATTCATTGTGCGGGCTGTGCTTGGAAGAATATCTTATTCCTCTGCCTTACTCATCAATGCCAACGAGGGTCCCCCCATTGCTGTAATTACAAAAGAAAAGCCCACAGCTTTTTTTAAACATTCCCTAGGGAATGGTTGAGACCCACTGAGCTAGAAAATGGGCAAAAGAGAAGAGACTGGGGCAGGATTTCTAACCACTCAAAGCGAGAGCCACCCCTCCTCTGAGTGGCTGCTGTCCTCCCAGCAGGGCAGGACCAAAAAATGTGAGTGTCAAGGAAAATAATGTTCTTGACCCCAGGGTGAGAAATTTCCCAGACTGCTTTGAAAAGAAGAGTTTCCTGCCTGTGCCCAGTCTGCAGCTAGTTCAGCGGTCTGGCCAGAACACCATCTCCCTGTGCTACTGTGTGGTCCTGGCTGCTGGCCCGGGGGACACCCTTCCCGGACCCAGCATGGCCTTTCCGTAGGGGAGGATGTACACAGACGCCCTCTCAGGAGCCTACAAGTGAGTTCTCGAGGCCCTCCTCTCATCCTCATTCTGGCAACTTGCCTCTGGCTTCCCCAAAGTCCTGACTGCTTTGAGGGGAGTGGAGGGGTGGAATGCCCCCTGGAAGAGGAGTCTGTGATAAAACGAAATTGGAAATTATTCTGGTGATCTCTATGGCCACACCGCTGGTGCTAAACCAGGAAAGGAAACCACCGTCCCGTCCAAATCACAGAGTATTGGTTTTGCACTTTGGAATGTATCCATTCAATGGAATAGCTATGAAAACACATTTTAAAAAAGAAACTAATGACATTAACATGGGAAAATATGAGAGTTTGAGGGGAAAAAAGCAGAATACAAAATCTGTACAACTGTGGTATATATATGTTTAAAGCTGGAAGAAAATGCATCAGAATGTTAACAGTAATTGCCTCTGGGACCATGAATCAATGGCCTCCTTTGTGGTGGTGTTATTCAATTTTTGCTCAAATGTTTTACAAGTGTTACCTCTATAATCATTTCTTTTCAACTGCCCTAAGCACTTGGAAACTGTTCACCTTTTTCCACCAATAGCTGCAATTTCCTCCCTTCACACTGTTTCATCCTCAGATGTCCCTTCCCGGATCCCGGCCCACTTTCCTCAGGACCCTTGCTGAAGTCTTCCCCATCAGTATCCCAACCCCACCCCCCCAGAGCCAATCCACTCCTTGCCTTCCACACCGAGCACCAAACTCCTCTGGGAAGGACCCACTCAATCCCGTCCCCTGGTCCTTGTGCCTTTGGTGACACTGAAAAGGATACTTTTCAGAGATAGCAGCATTCCTGCTCAGATTATCCGAGAATGGGACCAGTCTTCCTGTTCATTTTATTTCCCATCCTTCCTCTTCCTTCCCTGTCTTGCCTCATCTTCTGCCCGTAGAGTACAGAGCCCAGAACATAACACCCCACAAGCCCTGGTGATAATATTAACCAAAGTAGCCAAATTAACGATGGTCTGCTGGGTGCTAGGTGCCTTCAGAGGGCATCTAACATAATTCTTGCCCAGCCATGCAAAATACATATAATGGCCTGAGTTTGGAGACCAGTCAACTGCGATTTGGGGAAAATAAGTACAAATCAGAGGTCACCCAGCTATGAAATTGACAGAGCCAATATTTGAACTCAAGCCTCTTGGTCCGTTTCCAAATTCTTAACCCTAACCCTCCTCTGGCCCAACTTCCACGCCGAGGCATCCTTGTCGGAGGTCAAGGAGCATCTCAGTGTCTCCCATCTGAATTAGTGGGGAATGGTCTGTGTGTGAAGGGGGGTATTCAGTTGAAAGTCGCGTCTTCAAGGACGGTCGTCTGTCCTACGCAGCTCCTGCGGTTTAGAAAACGGTATGGGACGAAGGCTTAAAATTCAAACATGAAGTTATTTACAAGCCAAGCCTCACCTTGGCTTTTTCGTGAGGGCTGGAACCCTTTCTGCCATACTGCAGCACCACCAAGACATTCCCGTTGGTCTGCGAGTGCTCCCCCTTCCCCTTGTAGTGGGATGGGCTCACTGCACTGCCCCTGGCCAGGAGAGGGTCAGCGGTAAGGGAAACCTTTCTTTAGCAAATGCCCTCAACTGCTCCCCATGCCCAGTTCTAGTCCAGTTGTGCATTCTTGACTGGGCAGGCCATGGGGCTTTGTGCCAGGAAAAGGAAAGAGCAAAGTTACAAAGTTATTTCCGGTATGCCTTCCCAGGCATGTACAGGGAAACCCAGAGTGCAGTTCAGAAACTTCAGCGAGATACAAAAGCCCCTTTGCAGTTCCTGCTCTGATGCCCCCTCCCCTCCCACAAGATGCTCAGGGTCTGGGGACTCACAGGTGCTCAGGGCCAATGGCCAGATTACAAGGTTGACACTGTTGCTTCTGTAAATAACTTCTCCGTAAGGGAGGCCTTCTGTAATAAATAAATGAACACAATGTCATGAAATGCTAGGCTAACCTAAACAACAGAAAGGAAAATAGTTAGCTGCTTGTCCCTCCTTCTGAAGGGTATGTGGGGCCAGGTTAACAGATTTAGAAAAGATCCAGTTCTCACAGACAAATGCAGTGAGTATTTCTATTCCTGGAACTACAAGAGGATCGGATTTTTAAGATTTCAAAGCAAAACTAGTATTATGTTTAGTTAAACATATGTAATTAAGTATATACCAGGTATGAATGTTCATACCAACCCAAAAAGCGTATGTATCGTAATGCATGTATGCATTTGGGCATCGGGTTGGTAGAGTTTTTGTTTGTTCATTTTGCTGTAACAGATTTCTCTCGTTATGTCC